CGACAACTCTTGAGGTCTGGGAGTTCTCGGGGTGCACGTATGTGCCCTGGAAATTCCCGACAAAGACCTTTACCAAGTCGCGCCAGTTGTTGATCCGCAAGGAGGAAGGTGTTCGAGCCGGGCTCGCGCCCGAAGTCTGTCGGGAACAAGGGAGGTTGCGGATGATGAGCAGAGTCATCGTCCGCGCCGCCTAGCCCGACAAGCCAGTGTAGTCGCCAACCACAACTCGGGGTTGGTCTCGCCCGTATTTTGAGAGGTTGGCGGTTGTCGAAATCGGGCGGGAAGTGGGCGCCATGGATGGTCTTCTTGAAGACGTGAGGGCTGTGGCCTGTGAGAAGGACTACGGTCCTCCCCCCACCGTCAGAAAGCGATCGCCTCGATGCGGGTGGTAGCCTCAGGCGGGCCCATCGTTATCGTGGCGCGTCGCCGCTTGACCACATCATGGTCACCTTGCGCCTCGTGTCGGTCATTTGAGGCGGTCGTGCACCGAGGGGCCTTGTTGGCTTTCGGTGCCCGAGCGGGCCGTTCCGAGGCGTCCCCGCGCCATCGAGACGCGGAGCTTTCGGTCTGCTGCACCGCGGTGGTTTCGAGAAGGTCTCGGAGTCCGCCGTGGACCCGTCGCCCCTCCGAGGTAGATGGCTCGGGCATTGCTCGGAGTAGCATCGCCACGCGCCATGATGTTCTAGCTAGCGCGACTGAAGATAGGGGGTTGCTCGCCCCCTTCGTCGTTGTTGATGCGGTGCTTGACGTCGCGAGCCCTCCGCCGGGCTGCTCCGCCATCACCGCGACCCCGCTGCTCTTGCTCGAGAGTGTCTTGGAGCTGTTGCAGAAGGAGTCGGTCTTGTTCGACCTTGGCCTGAAGCTCACGGAGCTACTCCAGGTCTAGGCGTCGAAGTTCCTCGGGGGCGGGGACATCGTCCCACGCTGGCGGGGGCCCGGCGCGTGGTGGTGTGGCGTTGCCTGCCCCCGCGTGGGACGGGGAGCGATTGCCTGCCCCTTCGTCCTCGTCGCCCACGTTCGGCATCCCGAGTTCGACGTTGAAGCACTCACGAGTCAGGTCGTAAGCATCTTCGTCATCGGAGTCGGAGTAGCCGAAGTAGTAGTCGCTCGCGACCATGAAGCGGCGCATAGCTTTAGGGTCGCGAAGCCCAGAGAAGTCCACTCCGGCCCACGCCTCGTCCTCCTCTGAGGAGCTAGCGTGGGCGTGGGTCAGAGTTGTGGCCATGGAGTCGAGGGCAGAACGTTGGTGACGTCCTAGGAGCTCTGCGTAAGCGGAAGCGTAGGCCGCAGCGGCATTGCTCAACCCAAAGAGGTACGGGGATTGTGTCGTCGCCGGGCTCCGCTCCGCCGGAGTTGGCTCCTCAGGAGGTGGCGGGGCAGAGCTTGATAGCAGGGCATTGCTGCGTGCCACCGGCGCCTTTCCCTTGCCGAGGCTTAAGCTAGACAGGTCCCTAGCCAGGGACTCTGCACCAACAGCCGGGCATGGGATACTGGCGGAGCGCGGATCGTCGCCTTGAACTTGCGTGGCGTCGGGGTGGTTCCACTCGCGTCGTGCCTGGCGAGCGCGACGAGGGCGGCGGCCCGGGCGCCGCGTGCGCCTGGGCTACTGGTGCGTGACGTCGTCGTCGGTCGATGGGGCTCTGGGTGGGAGGAGTACCATATCATACTCATATCCTAGAGACATGAACTCTAGGCTCCCGAACCAGATCATCATGCCGAGACGCAGTGGTCGCACGGGGTCTGGCATCCGGAATTTGTTGGGATGACTAAGTTGACACGCAGTATGGCCCCTACCTGGCGCGCCAATTGTCGGTGTTTTGGACCGAGGGGTCCTCAACCAACGAGTGAAAATGTACTGCGTGTCCCTAATCCCGGATGGTGATGCAAAGAGACACAAGGTTTATACTGGTTCAGGCAATAGGTGCCCTACGTCCAGTCTGAGAGAGCGATCTTGTATTCTTTGCACCGAGGTGCTTATAGTAGGGGGTTACAAGCTGAGCGAGAGAGGGAGCTAGCCCCAGGTCTCTGTGAATTGCAGTGTGGGTTGCTTGAGATGTTGATCTCATGTAGTGAGGGAGTGTGTGTTACAGAGCGTTGTGCTTCGCTTGTGTGGGTGTTTGTGATTCTTCTTCTCCTTGAAGCGGCCCTGGTCACTCCCTTTTATAGTCAAGGGGAGGCACAGGGGCGGTACATGTATTTGCTGCGTGGCGTTCTTTGGCAAGGGCGGCATGTCCAAGCCCTGCAGCTCGTCACTGTGGCGGTATGGTCGGTGGAGCGATCTTGTCCTTGGTGCACTGGAGCGATGCGCCGATCACGCCTAATCCTGCGCGACGTGGGAGCTCCTATGGTGGCAGGCGCGCCTTCTTCTGTTGGAGGCGTGCTGGTCACTGTATGTTTGACCGGCGCGGAGTGCCGAGGCCGGGTTCATGTGGTGGCGCGGGTATGCAGATTCCGAGGCTATAGGAGCTAGGCCCTATGCACGACGTGGGAGCTCCTGCAGCCTGACACAGGGCATGGCGCGCACTGCAGGCGACGTGCCGGTCCCAGCGCGTAGTCGACGTAGAGAGCCGAGGCCCAGTTCGATGTAGAGGCTGGACCATCGTGGGGGGCTCGGCGGGCGCATGTCCCGATGCTGCAGGAGCCCGAGAGCGGGTAGCCGAGGCTCGGAGGGAGCAGTTTGGCCTTGCACGTCGTTTCCGAGGCTACAGGGACCTGGACATGACTTTCCACGCTGCGCTGTCCTTGGAGCAGGGGTTAGGCAAGACAACAGCACGAAGCGTCGGCCGTGGGCGCGATGTCGAAAACACGGTGATCGGTAACCACCGCCTCGTCCTGTCCCGGATGGCAGGGCGTCGATGTGACTTCCGTCTCGTCGGCCACTCTGCTGTACCGTGCCGTCGTGCGGCTGACATTGTGGGAGTGGTTGAACTCATTAGTTGGATGTGACGTCCCGTCAGAGAGGTCAGTCAAAGCGGCGGTGACGGGGCTGATGCCGAGCCGGTCTCGAGCGAGTCGGTAACTGGGTGTTCGTCCGAGGCCTTGCGGCGCGGGGCCTCGGGCGAGTCGGAGAATCTGTTCCGCGTCCGAGGCCTTACGGCGTGGGGCCTCACGAGTCGGAGAATCGGTACCGAGCGCGGGGCCTCGCGCGAGTCGGAGAATCGGCACATCATCCGAGGCCTTGCGGTGTGGGGTCTCGGGCGAGTCGGAGAATCGATGGTGAGCGCGGGGCCTCGCGCGAGTCGGAGAATCGGCACATCGTCCGAGGCCTTGCGGTGTGGGGTCTCTGGCGAGTCGGAGAATCGGTGGCTCGTCCGAGGCCTGGCGGTATGGGCCTTGCGGAATGGGGCCTCGGTCGAGGCGGAGAATCGGTACCTCGTCCGAGGCCTTGCGACATATCATTCCATGAAATTCTAGGTGCGACACTGTTAAAAATGCACTGTTACTACAGTGGAACCCCTTTTGATCATACTAGTAGGCCTTTTTTTTTACAAACCTGCCTCGTACTTAATCCATCCCAAATTATAAGACATGTGACTTTTTTGACACCAAGTTTGACCACTCGTCTTATTCAAAATTTTGTGCAAAATATCACTTCTTTTGTCATGGCTTGGTTTATTAATAAAAGTTCTTTAAGAATGACTTAAATTTGACTATATTTACACAAATTTTTTGAATAAGACGAATGGCCAAACTTGAGTTAAAAAAGTCAAACGTCTTATAATTTGGGATAGAGGGAGTAGAAAGCGAGGCAATGGGGCAAAAGCCAAGGGCATTTTAAAAGCCGCTGGCTAGTTTTGTTTGAACTGAAAAGCCAAAAAGCCAAACCCCCGACCCCAGGTGGCCAGGTGGATTCGAGCTCGAGAGAAGGCGCAGCAGGTCAAGATTGAGCTTGAAATTGTCGACCGAGGAGTCCAAGCAACCTTTCTTGCTTGCCAATTGCCATCATCTCTCTCTCGGGAAACTAGCTCCCGCCGGCCGCCATCCAAATTCCACTTGTATGGAGACGAAGTCGATCCAGCTCCACTGCATCCTTTCCTCCCTCCCTGCGACTCCGTCGACTCAGATTCCCCTGCACCTGCAGCAGGTTCTGCTCGATCCATGCATCCACCGACGACCATCTATCTCTTCCTTGGCTCCCGGCGTGCTTAGCTCAGCTCCGTCCATCCCAAATCCCTTTCCATCAGGAAAAACCATGATTATTCTTCCTAGCTAACTCTCTTATTACTGTCCAGGCTTATGCTTGCTTCTTCTTCTCCTATAAATAAAATCTACCTAGTATTTATGTAGGAGTATGTGTGTAGCCTTTCATTTACCTTCTAACTACTAGATATTACCATGAAAATTAACCTCGTAATCCTTGTGTTAGCATGAAACTGAACTTCTGAATGGAATCCATGTGGTTACTTCAGTAATTAATTATATATACTGCATATATACATATATATATATATATATAGACACACACACACACACCTTTTCTTTTGCAAAATTTGTCCATGCACCACAAATTCATCCTTCAACTAATAATTTAAATAATTATGTTAATCTTTGATTATGTAACACAAAACAGAGAGTTGCAAAGTGAACGTCTTGTAATATCACAACGCAGAACTAGACATTTCATTCCACGAAACTAGATTCAGGCCAACTAATAATTACAGGTTAGCTAGTGCTTTCCTGTATGTACGGTACGGCTGTATAGGTGTACGTACTCTACTGTACTGACACTGATCATTCATTATTTGGCAATTTAGATTCAGGCCAACTAATAATTACTTGTAGATTGAGGCTATGAGCAGCTGCTGCTTCTTCCATCCATCAGAGCTCCTCGTCATCAGTTAGTTGGTACAAGATGGTCGTTTTGGGTGGTGCCCGATGATCCGAGGCACAAAATTGGTGACAGTGTTGTTGATCATTCACGCCAACAACATCCAGCAGGATTACCGGAGAAACCCAGTCATGTCAGTCCCAGTAATGACAATGGAAATCCATTCGAGCACATGCAGAATCCAGTCATACAAGTACTACTACCTGTACCAGCACCCGAGGAGGTTCTACCACCTGGCCCTCCTGTGCCGGTGGAGAGCCGGCGACATGCACCAGCTCCGGCAAGGCAAGTATACTGCAAGGACGGCACCTGCAAGCCCAACGAGAGGAAGCATATGATGGTTGTCATCCTGCTGCTCCACTTGAACTGCTTCGCCCAGTATGCGCTTTGCGGCCTCAACCCTGGTTACCGAAGGCCACAGCGTCCGGTGATCGGAGTTGCTCTGACCATGTCGGTTGCCATCTGCGCGCCAGCCGTCGCTGGGCTGTACAACAACCTCAGCCCTCTCGGGAAAGACTACGAGGCACAACCAGAGGCAGACGACGAAGAGTCACAGCTCCAACGGAAAACGCCCGAGACCGAGAGGAGGTACTCGTTGGTGCCACGACAAGGCCATGGCGAGTCCGCCGGTAGCTCGCCGCAGTGGGTCGGCGGGCTGTTCCAGGATCTCTGGGAGGACATGTCGCTGTCGGTGTTCTGCAGCTGCTGCGTGTTCGGGTGGAACATGACCAGGGGACTGTTCAGTTCCCCTCCAAAACATCAAATTTTTTAAGATTTCTCGTCACATCGAATCTTTAGACGCATGTATGAAGCATTAAATATAAATAAAAAATAAAACTAATTACACAGTTTAGACGAAATCCACGAGACAAATCTTTTAAACCTAATTATACTATAATTAGACACTAATTGTCAAATAACAACGAAAATACTACTATATCGTTTTGCCAAAATTTTTGCCATCTAAACTGGGCCAGGCTCGGCATGGGCAATATGTACGTCCACGTTGCCACCTTCGTGCTCTTGTGCCTGGCGCCCTTCTTCATCTTTGACCTGGCGGCGATCAGCGTGGACGACGAGGCCGTCAGGGACGCGCTGAGGCTGGCCGGCGTCTTCCTCTGCGTGCTCTACGGCGGCTTCTGGAGGATCCAGATGCGCAGGCGGTTCGGCCTCCCCGAGAACCACGCTTGCTGCGGCAAGCCGGACCTCACCGACTGCCTGCAGTGGCTCTGCTGCTACTCGTGCTCTCTGGCGCAGGAGGTCAAGACAAGCAGCCGATGCCGATGCATCACCGCCACCATCCGACTTTGCAGGAAGAGCTGTCGACGATGCAGGAGCCCCTCAGGTTTGCAGGTGTCTTCGCTTCGCCTCCTTTAACTCCAACAACTGCTACTGGTGCAAGATCAGTAAACGACGGCGTCACTGTGCCCCCTTCATCAGTGTCAGCTACACGTACATAGGCAGCCGTAGCAACTTGGGACTTGGGAGTAGTTTCATTTCACCCAGGTAACGTAAGACTATCTCCAACAACGTTATTCCAAATACAAGACTTATTTCACATTTAAGTAGTGCTACAGATAAAGAGTTTAATACTTATTTTGATCTTCTCCAACAACAGGACAAAAAAAGAATCATTTCTGCAAATGAGTCTTCAGAAGAAAGGATACTTAGATTTAGGTTGTGCCTCTCCTGACACCCAAAATGGGTCTCCTGTATAGGTACTCTGTTGAAGGCCGATACAGTACTGTCGGAGACCCATTTTGGGTTTGGGTGCCCTTATGGGTCACCTGTGGAAGACGGTCTAACCCTACACATGTACAGTGCCTACGGAGTACCCCTCCGTCCCTAAATATACATCGTTTTCGTTTTCTAAGAAACAACTTTGACTAAATATATATAAAAAATATTAATATTCATGTTACATAATTAATATCATTAGATAAATATTTAAATCTAGTTTTTTTAATAAATTTATTTGGAGATATCCAGCCTGTTCGCTTGCTCGTAAACGATCGTAAATTTCCAGTCGAGAACAGTGTTTTTCTCTCACACCAAACCAGCCAGCAGTAAATAATCCACGATACGATACGGCCTCCCGAACAGGCTGTATAAATGTTACACGTATTTTCTACAAATCGAGTCAAATTTTCGACACGGAAACCAACGACGACAGTTAATTGGGAACAGAGAGAGCATGTGGTAGCGGAATGAGTTGCCTCTCTGCACCTACAGTAGTGATGTGACACAGTAACTTTAATTTGGTTCCCTCAAGAACATGTGTCATTTTAATGTATCCATACATCCCGATCCATGCAATCTATTGGAGCAAGCCAAGCGAAATCAATATTGTATTATGAAAGAAGTCATTCCTGTTTAACTACAAACTCAGGTATCATCAAGAAAAGAAATAAGTATCCCTAGCTTTCAATCAATAAGACGGGAAAATGAATTCCTAAGAAGGTTCATCTTCAACACAGCAGGCCGGTTGAGGAGCAGGGGGCAATTGCTCGCTCCCAGGTACTCCGGCTCTAGAAAACACTATAGGAGCACTGTTGAGCAAAATAGCGCGGTGCTATTTATTTTTATTAAAAAATGAATTTGAAAGAGGAGAGCCACGATTTCGAGCTCCACTGGCTCCGTGCTACAGCGCTGCTATGGTAATATCCGGAGCCGGAGCACGCACTAAATGACCCCTCGATGTATATACAGGTTTTAGCTGCTCAACAACAACCAACTCAAAATCTACCTACACGAAGGATCCTCCTATTCATAGCTAATGGATCGGAGTACCACCGAGATAATTGAATTAATTCAGTCCAAGGAAACTAACGACGCATGCCTCCCCAGCATGCAGGCGCAACTTCCATCCTCCGCTAATGTCTTCACATAACTGTAGCATAATTGATTACCGCACCTGCAACCACACTCTTGATGTTTATATTACGGCAATATCTGTGATTATATAGCTATATATATGTGCAAGTGCAACCAAAAGATCGAGTACAAAAGACAATGTGCTTATAACTTACGCGCATATTATGTGTGCAAGTTCAATCATGTGGCTGCATCTCTCACACGGCTTCCACATTTCCCGCTGCCTCGCAAGCTTATGCAACCTTTTGCCTTCAGGATCACCATGGGGGTAGCGCCTCTGGTACTCAAGGCAGCTCATCCTCTCATGCTAATGCCATGCCACCTTACAGTCCACACACATGGGCCCTCCACACTTCACACACTCCCTGAATGTCGGAGGATATTCTGAGCAGAATGATCGTTCAACCGTTGCGCCATAATCTCCAAAAGCCGTGGCGATAGCAATGCTTTTGAGCCCTCCACGGTAAGCTTGGTAGCGCAACCAAGTTGTGGACGGCCTGGGGCCATTCCACCGAGTAACATAACTTCCATGTACTTCTTCACGCAGACAAGGCAAAATCGATGTGCGCAGCCTTCAACCGCATGTAATTTTGTAGTGTCAGCATCCTCAGAACAGATCCTGCAACTCTCTGTGTTTCACCTTTGTAGCAAGATATCTGGCAATCTCATCATCTAGTCCCTCTTTTGCTAGCTTCACCACATTGTCGACATGGCCGTCATTAACGAGTGATATTTCACATTGCTCGAATTGCTTTTGCATTGACAGAGCCTGATTTATCATATCTGCAAGCTTCTCCCCTGTTGGACATGAAAGCCCAAGCATCTACAATAATCAAGACGGTGTTAGGATTGTTTGCAGGAATGCCAACTGTATTTTTATGGAGCACAAAATTAGGGGATTACCAAATTACCGGTTATCAGGTTTAATTCAAGCATTTCAACATTGGAGTTTATATGTACTGAAATTATTCTAACAGATCACAGCTGGTGATTGACAAAAAGAGAAAGAGCATGTACAGATGTAGTGTGCACAGGACACGGATGCAAGACCAGCACTGAACTTGGCATGTAACTGTGATGTATTAATCAGGCTCTGTCAATGAGATACTGAAATTTCTTCTGAGGTTCCAATAATAAAATCAACAAATTTATTAAACATACTGCAACAAACAATGAAGCACCATAATAAACATGTATGGGAGCAGATATGATCAACATCATCAGGCTCTGCGATCTTGCATCTATTTCGTTTCAGATAAACAGTGACGTACATAGTTGTGCAGTAGACTGTGATCGGTGATGGCCTTGACTCTGGCGATGTGGAGGCCCTCTACAAGCGCTGTCGCCTCCAGAAGCACCTGGCCGTCATCGTCATCGCCATCGTGCCTGCCTACGAACCCCAACACGGGTTTGTGCCCCCTCAGCAGCGGTCCGCACACGACCACAGCCAGCACCGGCGTGCCGGAGTCCCCGTCGGTGATCACCACGCGTCTCTTGCAGAAGACGCGGAAGATGGGGCGTGCCGAGGAGGAAGAGGACGGGCGGCATTGGTAGAGGAAGAGGAGGATTGGCTCGGCCGCGCACCGGCACCGCGCCGGGTTGGTCGTCGCCGGCAGCCATCATCAGATGGCAAAGGCGAGGGTTTTCTTTTATTTATTATTTCATCCTCTCACTGCTGGACTGGGCTGGGCCGGGCCAATACAAAAACTCACTGCTACGATGAACATTCTGTTTATAGGAAAAAGAAAAGGCAGGCTCCGGGTCTCGGGGCGCACCGGCCTGCCTGCATGCTCAATGGCAGCCATCATCAGATTGCGACGTGCAGCGCCAAGGCCAACATGCCATGCATGAACAGAGCTGCGCCTGCATGCTCGATTTTTTGTTTCCTTCTTCTCTTTGTTATTAAAAAAACAAATAAACAAATACAACCAAAAAAGAGATATCTGCCAAAAAAAACATGAGATAAAGCTGAAATTTAATAGAGTACTGTCGGTACAGAAAGTGACCAACTAGTGAATATTTTTAGTTTTGTTGTACGTTGTGATCGGATATGGCCTAGCACTCAATGACACAGGATTTATACTGGTTCAGGCAACGTGCCCTACGTCCAGTTTGGGTCGGTCGGTGACTTTATTCCTGAGCCCAGGTGCTCAAAGTCTGTAGTAGAGTTACAAACGAGAATGAGAAAGGTGGGGTGTACGAGAGGCCCGGTCGGGTCCGATCGAAAGGGCCGAGGGCGACCGGAACTCCGCTACGAACTAGGTGTTCAAGCGTGTGCTTGAGGGGTTGCGAACTATCGATCTAGTGAATCTCAACTTGAAGGAAGTCGACCTTGAGGGAAAATCGATCTCCTTTGTTGGAGAGAGCGCATCCCCTTTTATAGATGAAGGGGATAGCTTTACATGTGAGAGGGAGAGAGTGTGGATGTTCCTAAGCCTTGTTGCCCACGCCGATGAGGACAGTGATGATGGTAAGTGCCCACAATACTATTGATGTCACTGTAGAATGTCAGGTGCACATGGGAGATTGTGTTGGCTTCTTCAGGAAGGATGGATGTCGGTACCTATAAAATACTGTTAGTATGTAAGGAGCCCTACCCTGTGTACCAGGTATGGTGAATCCATCGGTGCCCAGAGGCATGTGGGGGGCTTTTTGCCGTACGGGAGTCCAATGGCGCCTACAATACTGTAGGCACAAATGTCGGCGCCTACAATACTGTGTGTCAGGGCGGTTGTGGAGCACTGTTCCCGCAGGCGTACAGGGTATGGTCCCTGGTATCGTGGTTTGACTTGTGCGCTGCCTTCTCCGTTCGCCCCTGGTCCCTTCCGAGCGGGTGTCCCCGGTCGGGTGGCTCAGGTCGGTCCTGGCCGCGCCAGTCGGAGAAGAGCGGTAAGCAGACTTTCTATGGGGTCCCCGGTCGGAGACGCGGGGTCGGAGCGGGAAGCAGCGTTTTGGGCCAGGCCTTCCGATCGGAGGGACCGCCTAGAGGCGGCTGGTGCCCGAGGCGAGCGCTCCAGTCGAAGAGGTGGGCCGAAGAAGTTGCCGAATGGGCGTTCGTTCTTTCGGGCAGACCTTCCGGTCGGTGACTGGACTGTCCTTTCGGCCCGTCATATTCTTAGACTTTTGGGCCGGCCCATGAACTACATGATGTTCTCCTAGGCCGAGCCCAGGCGTGAAAGCCGGTCCCCGAGGGACCTCGGGTTCATGAACCCGACAGGAGCCCCTGAGCCCCCGGGTGATTTGAGCAGAATCATCCGGGATTTTTTCTTCTTCTTGGTGGTGCTTGGTGGCCTTCGGTGAGTGTAGCCCGAGCCCCCGGGCGGTTCGGGCAAAATCGGCTGGGGGTTTCTATGTTTGTCAGCGGGAGAGGTTTTCTACGTTGTGTCGGTGGGTGCGCGCGAGCGCACCCGCGGGTGTAGCCCCCGAGCCCCCAGGCGGTTCGGGCGGAACCGGCTGGGGGTGTTGTTTCAGCGGGCGTGTGTGTTTTCAGTTTGAGACGGAATTTTTTGTTTAACCAAGGCGTCGTTGCGCAGCCGAGGCATTTTTTAGGTGCAGGGTTGAGACAGATCTTACTGATCCTGGTGTT